GCAGAAAGATATAATGTGACTTTATGAACTTGTCCAAATTATTTTATAAACTCAAATCTTGTAAACCTCACCTTAAGTAGCATTTGGAGTAGTAAATATAAGTGAAATGTGTACAACTGAAACAAAATAACAATTTTTCTAAAGTTCCAACAGTCCAAATCATACTGCTTCTGAGATACAAGGGAAAGTCTTAGCTACGAACCTTAAAAATAAAAATAAAACAAATCACATAATCCCAGTGTGAAATTGCACAGGGCAAACATTTCATTCCCTTATTCTATATCCAGCATTTGCAACACAGTACAAAATATGAACTTCAGACTATCTGGACAAACACAAACTGACAGCCTACCTTTTGGATTGATTCTGTTGGCAGAATGAAACTTTGTTTGGTAGACATTTCATTCTCCTGGCTTCATGCATGGTCCTTGCAGAGGCTTCTTCTCTGAATTCACAGGCCTTCCTTTGAAATGTGGTGGGAAGGAGAATGGAGAATATTCTTGATCCCAGAAATACTTAATTTGACATGTCAGTACCACGATTTGTTGTCAGTAAGAAGAGTAGCCAGGTTCTCTTGGACATGACTACAGCAGCTTCTGACTATCTTGATGACTGAGCACAGGGCAGTGAATCCCAGGGAACCAATTCCCAGGGTTTCTCTTCTCATAAAGGAGACATATAGTACTTGTTCCCCAAAGAAAGGCTTATGCTTTTGCAGTCATGAGTTCATGGTAGGTTTTACTGATTTCTAAAATGTCCTCAAGGCATCTTTCTTCTTGTAATAGTAAAAATACTTGTTTTCTTTAAGATCCTTATAATCCCTTCAGCAACCACATATCATTTGGGCCCAATATTGTGTGTAGTTCTTTTGAAACTCAAATTTAAATTAAAAAAAAATATGTTGGTGGGGGGAGAAGCAAGATGTCGGATAGATAACAACTGGCTACAGAGGCTCTCTGAGATAGTCAACTTAGAATTCAACATAATACAGAGTGGGGAGTCCCAAACAGAGGGAGATGAATTCCTAAGAAGAAATTAAGGTGACTTGCTGACCATCTGAGGTCTCGATCTAGTCCCACCACAACTTGCCAAGGTCCCGCCGCAGCTTGCTGAGGTCCCGCTGCTTCGACATTGAATTCAGGGGCCGGCAAGCCAAAGGGAGAGCTGAGTTGGCAGGGTGCCTACATTGACCTGTGGTGAGTGATGGGAGTGGAGCCATTCCATAAATAGGGAGGCTCTAGCGGATGACATTCTGGGACTGGGCAGGACTGGCAAGTATAAGGAGCAGCAGTGACTTCAGTCAATTTTTCCCTTCCCGAATTGGATTGGTGGAGTGAGCTAGGCCTGGGTCACATGACCTGGCTGAGATCCAATAGGTTATCCAAAATCAAGTCCCTACAGTGGTGGTGCCCACTAGCCACACTAACCCAGTGAAATCTCAGAAGTTTGACTGACAGTGCAGGCCACAGCAGCTTGATTGACCCTGACGGGAGGTGGTGCAAAGAAATGCAGAGCACATCACAGCAACTTGACTGATCTGCTGGGGGCCCGGGAGTGACTGGGCACCTGCCAGCGGCCCCCACCCCTGACCCCGCTGCGGGTGCCTTCCTGGAGGGGAGGTGGTGCAAAGTCCACTGCCACCACCGCCTCCGTGCTCCAGCTGCCACCACCCAGAGGGGAGGTGACACAAAGTAATACAGTACAGGCCACAGTGCTTGACTGATCCAGAGGGGAGGGGTCAGCACACACTGTCCCTGTCTCTGCAACTCACTAGCATACTGCAGTGTGAAGGGTTGTCTAGCTAGCACACTTCAGAAGACTTGTAACCAACAAAGGAAGAAACTGGAGCCTCCTGGAAGAAGCAAAAAAGATGGGAAGAGGAAGCAACAACAAAAAGTCCTCAGGTCCCAATCCTGAGAACATCGACCCAAGACAGGTAAATACAGAGGAGAATGAGAACAGCAAACATGTAGTATCAGACATGGCACCAGTGGACATAAAGAGATATTTTCGGGACCTCATAGATGAGTTCAAAAGGGAAATATTTAGCCAAATAAAGCAGGATATAAGAAAATTAATTAAAGAGATACTAAGCACCCCTCAAGCAGACACAGATGGAAGAAGGGAGGAACTCAAACAAAGGAGAGAACCATTTGATGAAAAATATAAAAAATATAGAACACATGAAGCAGACTCAAAGAGATTACCAGGAAATTGAAAATTCTATGGAAAGATGGCAAATCAGCTTGAAAGAAACTAAGGATAGATTATCCAAACTGGAGAACAATTTTGCAATGTGGGAGTATGAAAGGGAAAACTTTTAAAAAATAACAAGGAAACAAGCAGTAACAATACAAAGGCTAGAAGATGACAAAAGGATCTGTAAGTTGAGAATAAAGAACATGAATGAAGAAGCTGGGGTACCAACAAAGGAACTACAAAGGCTATTCACAGAAGTAATTAAGGAAAACTTCCCAAACATAGGAAAAGGAAATGATATTCTGATATATGTGGCATACAGAATTCCAGCCACCTACAACCAAAACAGAGCTACACCCAGGCATATAATAATCAAGATCCCAGAAATTAAATATAAGAACAAAATATTAAAAGCTATTTTAGAGACAAGAAACAGATAACCTATAGAGGAATGCCCATCAGGATAACAGCAGACTTCTTGACACAAACCATCAAGTCAAGAAGAGCCTGGAGTGAAATATTCCAAGCCCTGAAAGAAAATAAGCTCCAGCCCAGATTGATATACCCTGCTAACCTGTCTCTAGAAATTAATGGAAAAACAAGATCCTTCCAAGACAAAGAGGAACTTGGGAAATTCACAAACAACAAACCAAGTCTATAGAGAATACTGCAGGGCATTCTAGAGAGAGAGAAAAGTACTAGGATTCCAGGAAGAGTGGCAGAGAGGCCTCAATTAATGGAGCAGAAAACAGAATGAAGAAGATAAGCAAACAAATGATGGCAAACAAGACCATCACAGAAATGAGGCAGAGAAGATTATTCAAAACTGATATGATTGATAGCATCAAGACTGAGAGTATAGGTAGCTACTCTGAAGATGACAAGACTCTATGATACACATTCTGGTTTGAAAACTGCCAGTTTTTGAAGTTCTATACTATATACAAAGTTGTGTTTTTATTAATACTGTTATGTACTGATATATTCAATTATATAGGTCTGATGATATAGTCAATTCTATTGGAGATAACAAAAGACAACACAGGAACCATGGTAGAACTCTTTGTACAATGGTTTTATATGTTTTTTTCATTTCATGTGTTTATAGGAGTATGTTTTGTTTTTTCATGCTTTGTTTTGTTTCTCCCTCTAATACAGAAAGGATAGAAATACATGTTAAGACTCATGCATGTGTAGAATCTGTAAACAGTTTATGAGAACAGATCTTATGACACATGATGAAATGAACAGATACTTTGAAGCAAAAGAGACACTAAACTACCCAGTGCTGATCCTGGAGTGTCATAATGTGAAACCCAGCAATAGTATTATTCTTTGTTCAGAGTGATATTAGCCTGCTTGACTTTATTCAATGTCAACATAATTGAAGATATGGATAACGTCATGTATGGTTAAATGTATAGGATTGATAACCATATTTCTAAGTTTTTGTTGGATAGTTGAACAGAAATTGTTGCAATCTCACTGTTTGAATCCCCACTTTATATAGAATAACTATTTGTAAGAAGACAATCTGTAATCATCAACTAATGATTCTTAATGTTTATTTTTTCTTTGAAATTATGTATTACTTCTACCCATTTTTATTTTGCTCAGTCTTTCTTTAAATACAATTTTTTAAAAATTTAAGTTTTGCCCAAATTCTCACTACAAATCCAGCTACAAGCAGTCAACAGTACTCATACCTTGATCTGAATGTTGAAATGTCTTGAAATTCACCTCAACTGATCCAGCCCTAATCTAAGTCTCATGCAAACTCTCAGTACATGATCAAAATGTAGGAAAACATAACCTATAAAAAAATTGGCAGCAGAACAAGAGTTCCCAGTAAACTCACCAGAGCCTGGCCATTGTATTTTGGCATTTCTGTCAGCATTCTGCTCTTCAGAATGATGACCAGGATAAACTGTTAGACTATGTTAATAGTATCACAGGCTTTTTGCCATCTGTATTTCCAAACTTTGGGAATTTCTACAAACTCATTTCAAAAGCTTTCAAAGGATGTGGTCAGGTACACTTACAGAAATGACCCCATTTGTTTATATTGATTTTCTGTATGAGTCATATTTTTATTATTGGGAAATAATAGTCAATGCTCCTAACTTAAATAAGTAAGAATTGAATTCACCTCAGTTTAAGTGGATTCAGCCTGGTGCTAAGCTATCTGCAAGGCAGGAATAACAGAATGGAAGTGTGTGTTAAGGGAAAGTTCCTGACTCATTTCATGTCTAAAAGCACACGTAATTTATAACTAAAACAAATTTCAGAGAAAATGCAATTAATTTTAAAAAGCTTTGAAAAGTACACAAAGTACATTAAATGTTGTTACAAAGATCTGTTTCTCATGAATATAATAATTTTCACTTTGGATTATTTACTGAGGATCTGCCTAACGTGTACTAACATTTCTTCATTCTCTAACATATGTGTGCATTTGTAACATAATGGTGTAAATTAGTGAGATGCCTGGAATGCTATATAATAAAGAAGTGCCTTTATTTTCTCAAAATCAAAAAAGCAACAGGGATCAATAGGTTGAGGCTTTTGCTAGTCTAAGACATGCTCAATAATTATTGAACCAATTCTTTAATACTTTACCATACCGTATGTTAACCCAAAATAGAAAATGTTCTTCTGAAATAAGTGAACTGTTTTATCATAAGACAAAATAGACAGAGATTTCACATTTATTTTAAAAACTCTATCCCAATTCTCTTTCTGCAATATTGTTGCAATGTTGCAAAATTTCACACTAAAAAAAAACGTTGGTTAATCTTTAAACAGGTATCTGGACCATTGCCTATTTCTGATTTAATAAGCTCTGAAGGCAAATCAGTATTTGCTTAGACCACGAAGGGATGAGTTATGGATCACAGACTTCTGCGTGTGGAACTAAATGATGGGCACTTCATTCCTGTCCTGGGATTCGGCACCAGTGTACCTAGCAAGGTATTAAGACCATCTGGGGCTTGAGGATTTGTGAGGAAAGTCTTAGCATGAGTGGAGGCTGGCCAGTATTTTTCAATCAGTGCTCCTCCGTGACACAGGGACTCACTTGGATGTTGGTTTCTTCAGGCGAGAGTCACTGACACGTGAGGACAGGGACTGGCATTCCACTCTGCACTGTGCTGCCTCCATATGAGGCTGCTGCGTGTCCGGACTCTGCTCTGCCCTTGCTTCGGTGCGCCTCACTGCCCGCCGTGAGGCATGGGAGCCAGGATTACTGCTAGTCGCATCTGAAGTCCAATTGTGTTGGATTGTTTTATTTGTTGAATTCAGAAATGTTTTCCTCCTTCCCGGTAGACGTAGCCCAGAGAAATCTTTGTGGCAGAACTTACTAGAAGCAAGGGACATAGAAAAGGTGAAAAGGTATTGGTATTCTGCTGAGGAGCAGCCTGCTGGGCCCAGCTCAGCAAATGCTGGACTGGAAATCTAGTTAGGGTACCACAGGCACCACTCCCCATGCTGGTCAGTTTATCTGAAAGAAAACACAACCTCATGGGAGAGGTAAACACTGCTCCAGTGAGGTGAGTCCAAGTTCTTGGGCAACATTCATTACAATGAATTTGAAACAAAAGCACAGGGATATACTTCTAAGGCAATCATGAGCCAATGGATGAGCCACTAAGCTGAGAAAATATTTTCCTTCCACATAATTACTCAGTCTGTGCCCGAGGTCCAGCCACATAAAATTTCTGTCTCACATTGCTTATCTGAGTCATAGCTTTAGTGATAGCTTTTCTTCATAGACCTAATTGACGTGAAAGATAAATAAGGATCCAACCATAGATTCAAGCTTAATAAATGTATACTGACCAGCAGCCCTGGCTGAGATCACGGAAGGCTGTGGAAACAGTATCTGATGATTTCACTGCAGAGAATAACACTTCTGAAATTCATAAAACTAAATAGAAAATCATGTGTTTACTTTTGAGGTTTGTTGTTCAACAAAAGCTCTTCAGAATCTTCCCCTAGTCTTGGCAGACCAACTTACCCATTTTGTGCAGTCCTAGTGAAATACCTGAGGCTCAGCTGTTTAGGAAAATGACAGATTGATTTCTTCCAACTGGAGAAGTTGGGAAGCTCAAAGGAAAAGGCACTGCCATTGGCACAGGCCTTCCTCCTGCATCACCCTAATGCATAAGGCAGGAGAGGAAGAGAACATGCACGTAGCAGGCAGAGTGGGCTTGGAGGCCACCAGCCTTCTCATTGGTGCCATTAATCTGTTCCTGGGGGCAGATCCCTCACAGCCTGAGGGCCTGTCCTGAGGCCCCACCCACACACCATTGTACTGGAGATTGCATTTTCTACATGCTTTTTGGGACACATTCAAACCAGTGCATAAACAAAAATCAAAACCTTACTCTAATTATACCTTTACAAAATGGAGTGAATTTTATTTTCAGAGAGAACAACTACTTTACAAATTCTTTACACAGTGTGTTTCTTTTCTTATGTATATAAACTCTGTAAATATTCCTTGGAGATACTGTAGCTTGGCGCCAGACCACTGCAATGAGCTGAGTTACATGATGTTTTTACTGTTGATTTGTTTGTTTCTCCACTTGTTTTTAAAGGTGCATGTGGACTATAATCTAAATACATGAAACAAGGTGTATGTCTTTCTTACAAAATATGTTATTTTTGAAAAATGCATTTGGTCATTTGAACTTTCAGAAAGTTGTAATCTTGTTGATGTGAAGTGTTCCTTGTTAATGTGTGTTCTTGATCTAGGTGACTGTTTAAGGTTGGGATGACTGCAGAAATGTCTTAAAATAAGACAACCATGAAGTCCTCCACATCACTTCACCATAAATATAAAATACAGGCATGTCACACACAACGTTATTTGCAGCATTTTTACCATACTATAATGTTTTCAAAACTTTGAGTCAATTCTCTTTACTCTTCTTATCACCATATCAACTACAGTTATGTAATACTCTCAATTATTTGTCATCTCAGCAATGTTTCTAGCATTTTCATCAGGCAGATATTGCTTCTGAAAAAATCAATTTCTTTGATTACCATATAAGGCAATGCATTCGTTGAAGTTTTATGATGAAATTGCCATGATACATCATATCCTAAATGATCACTACTAATGCTGTCTCTTTTAATTGCCAACACATCTGAAATTGTTTCCTCTCCCAAAGTGTTGAGATCTTCAATGTCATTTATGTGTGTTGGAGTCAGTTGATTCCAAATCTTGTTCAAGTTGATAATTAAACTCCATTCACTGAATTGTGCGTATTTTTAGTGACCTCTGGACTAATACTTTTCAGAAGTTTTAAAATGTATTTTCCCCATATTCAGAAGAGAAACCCTTAGTAATAAAAATTCACAGCTGCATTAAATATATTCTTGCCAACAGATTGATCTGCAAATAGTATCTTTGGTTGCACCTCCAGGTTCCTAAAAGTAAGGTAACGGAGGCCACCAGATTAGCTATAGATGCTGGATTTCGCCATATTGATTCAGCATATTTGTACCAAAATGAAGAGGAAGTAGGACTGGCCATCAGAAGTAAGATTGCAGATGGCACTGTGAAGAGGGAGGACATCTTCTACACTTCAAAGGTATTATTGGTATGCTGTTGTGCTTGTGTGCCTATGTTTTTACTGTGACTATGTGGGGATGACAGTGTATGATAGGACACTGGCTGCTTGATAAATTATTGCTTATTTGTACAACTGCTATTCATATTTAGTTATGCATTTAAATTGGATGCAAAACAGATAAGATGATGTCTTGGCCATCAGTGAGGTAACTGAATTGATGACTTGAATATCGAGACACTTTACCTCTTTGAGTGTTCTATCCCTGTTGAATAGAGTAAGACAGTAAGGTGACCAGATTCTAGCTTTTGTGATCTCTTGTGCAACTCTCTGAAATTATTTTCATCTGATTTTAAATTTTCATTTTTTCACTAAGAAAGAACAATCTTTGAGTATTAGAAGGATACACCTAAAATCTGATGCCTTGTGAACTATGAAGACAATCTAGTGTTCTCCTCTTTAGTTATTAGACTACAAGACTACTAATTCTTCCCCATTTAGCTGAACACACAAAACTGTAGACTAATTTGTGTACCATTTTATAAATGTAATCAAACATATCTCATTACCATTGAGAAATATTTAAGTTTTGAGCAATTTTTCCTTCATTTGAATAGATACATTGTCCATAAACAAACATGAAAAAACTTTTGCATGTGCAAGACAGACGAAAAGAAACTAAAGAAAGCACTGGGTATGATTTACCATTGCTCACGTGGTTTCCACCAGTGGAAGACTGTGTTAAGGGAAACAAGTCAACAAAATTGGCTCAAACGTTAATTTCTGATTTCATTCTTTACTCTCTGTAGCTTTGGCCCACTTTCAGTAAACCAGAGTTGGTCCAACCAGCATTGGAAATGTCACTGAAAAAACTGCAACTGGACTTTGTTGATCTCTATCTTATTCATTTCCCAACACCTTTGCAGGTAAACAACTTGTGTGCACAGAGCTCTTTCGCTGATGATATCACCTTAAATATTATTTATGTAGATGTTTGAAGGAAGAGTTTTTAACAGGAAGCAGTGGGCACTGTACCAGAGGAAATCCTAAAGAATAAATACTTATATCCTCATCTTGAATTCTTCCCTCCACACTTCTTGCCTCCAAGAGATCAAATTCAACAATTCAAACCCTGTGTCTCAAAGACTTGAGAAATAACAAAAGTCACCATTAGAGTGAAAAAACATATTACTGAGCCTGTTTGATACATAGGTGTGTCTTAGACTATCGTATGTCCTGTAGGATATGGAGCTCAGGTTGTTTTCCCTGGGTCAAGAAAGAAGTTTATTGTGGCTGGAAATGAAGGCCATGTAATTACTTCCTTACCCAGTGTGTGTGTGTGTGTGTGTGTGTGTGTGTGTGTATGTGTGTGTGTATGACAGAGAGAGAGAGAGAGAGAGAGAGAGAGAGAGACAGAGACAGAGAGAGACAGAGACAGAGAGATAGACTGAGACAGAGAAAGAGAGAGATAGACTGAGACAGAAAAAGAGAGAGAGAAGGAGACAGAGAGAGAGATAGAAAGAGACAGCAAGACAGAGGCAGAGAGAAGGAGACAGAGAGACAGGGAGAAGGAGACAGAGAGAGACAGAGAGAGAGACAGACAGAGAGAGAGAGAGAGAGAGAGAGAGAAAATCTTTCTCTGTAGGAAAATACGGGGGCTGACAAATGTGAAATGAGACCCTACTAAACTTTGGAAAATAGCACTCAGAAAACATGCAAAAATAAATGATTAATGGAAGCCTGTCTCTAAAGAACATTTCTTACTATTTTGAAAGAAAATATCTTACAAATATCAGTTTTTAAAGTGTTGCTAGCATGCTTCATAAAAAGCAGTTATCCTGGCACCCAAACACTTGTTCAGTAGCCAGTTGTGGCAACACAAATTTGTGAAAATTCTCTGAAACGTTTGCTTCTATTGCAGCCTGGGGAGAAGGTTATACCGCAAGATGAACATGGAAAGCTGTTGTATGACACAGTGGATCTCTGTGATACGTGGGCGGTGAGTGCCTTGGAGGAGAGAGCACAGGGATGGGAGCAGGAAGACGGTCAGATTTGATCTTCAACTGAGTGTGTGGGCTGTGCATCGTGCACTCTAGAAACTTAGGACTTTCACAAGGACTAGGTTGGCGGAGTAGTGCCCCAGAATGCTGTGCTGAAGTGTAACAGAAACAGAAGAGAAGAACTGAAGGAAATACTCCTCGGCATCTCCTTCCCTTCACCTGCAGTGGTTTCTTCCATTTGGTTCTGAGGGACAAAGAATTTTTTTTTCCTACTGTCACTCTTGTCCTAGGAGTGTAACAATCCTGGACATCAATCACCAGCATTTCTCAACAGTGTTACTTCTACAGTTGTTTCTGATAGATGTATTGATTTGGAGATGATTGCACACACTGTACTTCATACCGTTTCTCCCCAGGCCATGGAGAAGTGTAAGGATCTGGGATTGGCCAAGTCCATTGGGGTGTCCAACTTTAACCGCAGGCAGATGGAAAAGATTCTCAACAAGCCAGGGCTGAAGTACAAGCCTGTCTGTAATCAAGTGAGTGCCCTCCTAGTCAATTCATTCTGCTTTTCTTTCCCATGTGCTACTCCTACTTGGATGTCTCTCTTTCTCACCCTCTTCTCTTCATTTTGCTTTCGTGGTGCAGAGGATGCTTGGAGTGGAGACCATTTCTGGGGTGTTGTAGATGATCTTTCATTATGAGTGTGCTTGAGAATATCTTATTGAAACAGATGGGATAAATGATGTGTAAAATGCAGGGCAGGTAAAGTTAATCAAGAAGGTAGTTGGGAGTGGCACTCATTAGTTCGACCTTCAGGACAAGATGCATTTGTCCTTGAGCTATGAACTGTGACCATTCATTTGGTGGGCACAGCTCCGGTTTAGAACGCTGTGTACGGGAATTAAAGCAAAGGGCGGGCATTAAAGAAGTCTGGAATTATTGGAAGATAAGATTGACTTTGTTTGGAATTCTAATGTCTGAGTCTCTTACCACAATCTCTGAGTGGATTTTTGATGTTTGAGTCTTTCATTTTGGTGTCCCTACTTTCAGGTATATTGACCAGAGGCATAAATATGGGAAGATTTCACTGTTGACTTTGCCAGTCCCCCAGGATGTAGGAAGCGCGTCGCTCCTTTATGGCAATATTAATGTTGGATGAAACCAACACTCAGATGCTTACTAGAATGTAGAGCCAGGCAAGGTATCCAGGCATATTTTAGTCACTTCTTATCAGTTGTTCCAGCATATTTATTCTGTTTGGTTCTGAATTCTTTCTTTTTAACAGCTTCCAGTCATGTAGTAGTGCATCTTACTTGTGAAACAGATCATCAGCATTCATCAATTTGCTATGTAATTGTAAAGCAACATTATCTTGTAATATAAATATTCAAGATTATTGTCATTTCAGTACTAATTTTATCAGTATTTCTTATGATAACCATTTCAATCCATTAGAAAATTTGAAAGAATGATCAAGAAAATCCATCCTTTTCCACTTTATACCCTCATTTTCTTGTTTTCTATGCAGTTAAATATTGGTACAAATATGTGTGTATATTTCCATTTTTTGCATAATATTTTGCTTAACCTCTTCAAAGTAAATTCTTTAAATGACTATTTACCCTTAGAAACACAGAAAACATCTCCTAGTAAAGTAAGATATTTCCCCACAGTTACAATTGCATTGTTAAGAATAGGGAAGTATTGATTCCCTCTCATCTTCCAATGCACACTCCACATACAAATTTTCCATTATTTTTTCAAAATATCTTTTGTACTTGCCTTTTTCACCAGGAATAACTTGTGGTTTACATGTAAGTTTTTATAGCATTCATTTTTTCCATGATGCTCACATGAAATTGGGCAAATATTCTATTCATCAGATGCTTTACTTGTAATTAGATATAAAATTTGGTTCTGTATTTTAAATCTTGTACCTTAGTAGTTAGTTCAGATGCTATATTAGACTGCTGACCATATTTGGAAAGAAAATACCTGTCGCATGTCCTGTCCATCAAAGTTCATCCCAGCAGAATACCCCAAATGACAAATGGTCTCACTGATGATTCTTCTTGTCTCTTTGTTCAGGTAGTTGGAGTCAGATCTCTTCTTCATTTCTTTTGTTTGTTAAGTTTTTGTTTATCAGCTGTTTCCAGTGCTGCCTATCGCACTCAGGACTTTGTGCATCAGATCTCTTCTTTGGAAGCCTCCATTCCCTCACTGCATTCAGTAGTAGGCTGCTGATCAACAGTCATCAGCAGAAGTTATGTCCTAAACAAATTTTCTACAGAATTGGATATTTGTTAATGACATTTGCCTGATTTCATTTACATCATGAAAGCTTGTCAATGGCATTTTTATTTTTAACTATTAATTTTAGTTGTATTAACATTATATTTTATAAGAGAAATTTGCATATCAAGTAAAAATAAGCTATAATTTTACCTACATATTAGTAGGATCATTAACTTCTCTTTACTTATCAATGTTGTGAGAACTGAGCTATCATAATCGTCATGAACACAAAGTATTTCGTGACCTCTTTCTGTACTTTCTACAGTAGTATCAGAGGATTGTGTTAATATGTTAAAGTTCACTTTCCTCAATTTTGCCTTTGAAGAAGAAATTGCCCAAATACTTTGAGCCAGGTTCCTACTGTTACTGAAGAGCTCTGGCCTTAACATTGCATTATCATATATTTGTCTCTTACCGATAATGTGATGCTCCCATCTGTGGAGCACCCTGGACCCAACCTTCTTCCTTGAGGCTCTCCAACAGAATTTGGTGTCCTAGATGAGACTGGCATCTTCTGGTGTCCTCATTTGGTGAAATCACCTCTAAGGGCTTTACCTGTGACTTCTCTGGCCCCAGAAGAGAGGAACACAGAAAGAGAGTGCCTGCAGTTGCTGCAGACCTCCTCTTGCTCCTTGGGTTCAGTGTCTTCTGCCCCTGAAATGGAAAGGTCAAGATTTTTAGAATTTACAGTCCCAACTTTTGCTACTGACAAATCTTCCCATTGTTGCACTTTGGGCCTTGTCTTTCTTTGATTTTCTTGCCATTTGGAACTCACTCGAGCAATTTGAAATTCTCCTGAACCAAATGGAGCCTTCAACATTTTGATTGATGGGGGAAAACTTGTGTCTTTGTAGTTTGTGACCTTGCCAGTTGTTTGCAGGGAATGAATGCAAAGGTGCACAAAGAAGGAAGGACATTTGGACATCTCTGTTGCAATTGGCATAGGAATGCAATATGCTAATACTAACTTAACATCCCCAGCTACAATTTCAGCAATCTGGAGCCTAAAGATGTATTTGAATTTTAATGCAATTGTTGTATGGATTATATTGTGTGTCAATGTGATTGCTAGTCTGTGTTTGTGATAGTAAAATCCATGAGAAATAAAGGAATGCTGGCAGATAGTAATAGACCTATTGGAAATTCATTGACATGAAAGTACTTAGACTCTGAAGAGAAAGAGAAGTCTTCCAGCTGGCCTAGGGTCAGTGACCTTGGATGCCCACCAGAGGTTTTAAGGTGACTGATCCATGATACCCACTGTCTTCACGGGGTCCCATTTCCACACTCATTTTTCTCCTCGGAGCTTGTGGGCACCTGTGGGAGAGGTGCACAGAGTCCACCCACTTCAGTTTTCAGGAATTCCTGTCTTGTTTTACTTTTCTTCTTTCTGTCAGTTGATGCATTTGTATCATCACCAACTCTATCCATAATTCAGCCACACCCACAGGGTCAAGGGCCTTCACTGTAAGTAGAGGAGATGTCACAGCACTTGACGTTATTGCACAGCCACTGCTTCAAGGTGCCATGAATGGTTCCTGCGTTAGCAGTCTGCATTCTCAGTACCTGCAGTGGTGAAGCTGGGTTTCCCTTCATTCCCCTTGGGCTCTACATGGAGAAGACAAGCTAGGCTGCCATGTCTGGTGTGGCTCTTGATATTCTCAGGAGGAAGGACAGGGAGAGGACAGGAAAGCAAAGAAAAGAGAGGAAAGCTTGGGTCAGGTGGAGCCCTCTCTCCTGATGGGAGGAAAGGACCTGCTCAACCACTGCAGAGGTTACATTCACCAAGTTAAAGTTGCGTGACACCCCCCTTTGCCTACCAACCCATTGCTCACATTGCCTAGGAGACTGGTGTTCTCTGGGCAGGAGCAGCTTGTTTATCAGGGATGCACAGCCCCAGATGTATGATCAACCTCAGCTTCAGCTGCTCCCTACCCTGTGTAACCTCTTCTGAGATACAGCTCGCTTCCCTCCCACATTGCCTCTCATTCTCAGCATTGGTAGGAAATGGGACACTTGGCTCTGATTTCATGCAGCCTGTGTTACAAAAGTGCCGAGCAAAGAGAGCAAGAGTGCAGTGGCCACTCTGCCAGGAAGCCCGGGGCCCGACACACGGGCTAACCTTGGCGTGAGTACTCCAAGGTGTGCATTCTTGCTCCAGTCATCACAAGCCTCTAACTCATTGGGCAGAATTAATTAAAACTTGTACTTTGCACTGTCCCTATAATTTGTAGAAATAACTGTCAAAAGTACATATGCATGGCTATTTAATTCTGCCCCTCGGAACTTATGGTGCTTTGCTTTGTTTTAAACAAAGTAGTGAGTCCCATTTTGTTTCTGTACACTTACATACTATATTTTCTCCTTAATTTTGCTTTGTTTGATTGGAGGCTCTTTGGTCCTCTATCTGGATATTTTCTGGAAGATAACAGATTATTTGGGTTTATTTGGAAAATTGTTATTTTAGTCAATCCTAGCTGAAAAGTAGATATGAAAAGTGGTAGCCTTCAGATTCTGCATGACTAAAGACAAAAAGTGAAGTTTTCAGAGCCAGTTAATGGTATACAAAAATTTAATTCAAGACTCACAAATATGTCTTTGAGATTAGGCACATAACCAGGTAGCTTCAACCTGTTTCAGCTTGTGAGAATTTAATTTAAATTGTAGTGTTTATAAATTTGGTAAATTTACATTGGCACATTGCATTGTCTTAGAACTCAGATTTAAACAAGAAAATCTCTGACAAAAAGGTCAACTTGTTAGTAAGGTAAAACAGACTTCTGGGGAAAATGTTAGCACATATTTGATTCCATGTTAGTCTATCAGGATTGTATTTTCCTCTGTTGGACGCTTAAGATTCAACGTCCATTGCTTTCTGTATTACAAGCAGACATGACGTTCAGCAGTTTTTCTCTGGAAAATAAACAACTTAAAAGTGTTAACATCTCAATTTTCATGAAATAATTGATGCAAATACACTTGATAAATACAAATTGGATAAATATGCAAAAATGCACAAACAAAGGGAAATGGCTCATTCACCAATTATGTTAAAGTATGGAAACATCAATCATTAAAATTAAATTCAAATAATCTTGACTTCTTAAAATCTAGAGGAAACATGATAAATTCTGGTCTAGTAAATGGGTTTCATATTTCGTTCTTGTGTAAAAGTACCTTACAATGTTCCAGGCATGCAGACTCATGCCCATAATCCCCAGGCAGAGGGATCTTAAAATTGAGCCTCCATATCCTGGAGATTTATTAAATGTCTTCATGAAAGTTATTCTTTTTATCCCCATATGACAGGGAGAAGGAGCAATCTGACACTTTAATAAATTTGAGAGCAATTATTCTAGGGGAACAACAGGAAAAGACATACAGAAATAAAAACTTTAAGTGAAATTATAGTACTTTTTCCTATACTATAAATAGAATAAGAGGGATATGCAATGAAATATTAAATAAAATTAAATTTCTCATGCTTAAAATGTAATAAAAAATATGTTCTTAACTAGTAAACAGGCATTGATTCATATAGTCTGTATCCAAAATTTTACAGTACCTTGTGTGGTATTTTGTGTGTGTGTGATACATAGGTAAGGAATGTTAAGGTGTTGTCATGGCAAAAGAACTAACAAAAATGGAGCTGAATTGTTCAAAGATATTCTTTAAATTCTATATGATTAGAGTCCCTTAGGAATAAATTTTGCGGAAAAGAAAACCTGTATTTGGAACGCTGAGATGATTCTCTGTATATTATATTACTTGATTTTTCAGTTTGTCACCGGAAAACAATGCAGTACAAATGTAAAATCATATGCTTTCTTCCCAAATGATGACTCACCTGGGTGAGTATGAGTGGACTCTAACCAGCAGATACAGGTCAGCAATGCACAGTGATTTCTTTCATTGTAGAGAGTTAGAAAATGCACATAACACATTTTACTTTTCTTGTGTCTCCTTTCCCTCAGCCACTCTTCCTCATTTCTTGGTCCTTTTACAATTTGCAAAGAAAGTCTATCTCCTACTATGTATCTATTTCCTATTGTTCATCACTCACTTTATTCTCTGATTTACTTCTACTTTGCTGCCAGAGAAGCCGCGTGATACTTAAGTTTATGTCTGATTTATTTCATTTAACATTCCAGTCTTACGGTGCATCTGCTTTTCCTACAAATGACTCACATTTGTCATTTTTGATCCCACAGTTGTACTCTATTGTGTATAAATAGCATATTCTCCTTAACCATTCATCTGAGCATAGACGTATAGGCTGCCTTCAAGATTTAGCTATGAATGTATTGTGATTAACAGAGGTATTCACATATCGCTGTAATGTGATGACTTGGACCCTTTTCAGAAGATACCTAAAAGAGAAAGAGTAAGCAGTTGGATATTCTATTTTAGCTTTTAGAAGAATGTCTCATTGATTTCCATAGTGTTAGCACAGTTTGACATCCCCACCAACTGGGTAGAAGGTGCCATTTGCCCCACATTCTAGCCAGCACTTGTTACCATTTGATTTCATGACGATAGTAATTCTGGGATGACATTGAATCCCAGTGTTATTTTAATTCACATTTGTCTAATGTTCCAAGATGTTGCACATTTTTGATGTTATTTATTGACTAATTGGTTTTCTTCTGAGAAATATCTATTCAAATGTAACCTTTTGGCTATACTAAACTTGTTTTGTAGGCAAATTAATTTTCTTTGATTGAGTAAAATTGATGAGAATTAAAAGAATCATTTCTTCTTTTAAAACTACCTTTTAAACTGGATTTCTTCTGCTCTTGTTAGTTGTTTCATATTTTTCTTGTGAACATTGTAGCAGGTGACTGTCAAAATTCTGTTTAATACTGGAGGATACTAACTGTCATCTACAGGACAAGTAAGATGAAAGTTAATAGGGTCATCATCAATCTCTGTTCAGGGAATGTAGATTGGAAGTGCTTACTTGACTGGTTATGGTCACACCACAAATAAACTCATTTTTAAAGTATCATTTTCGTCTGACTTCTGCAGGGAATAGAATGCTAACTCCTTGCCCAGCAGGATCCGACCTATGCTTCTGTCCCTGTTAGCACAGCTAAAATCATTTTTGTCCTTGAGACTTTGCTTTCAGATGTCTGGGACCACATCCTTGCTTCCGGAATGGTGCCATGTCCAAGGCTGCATGAATTCTTTCCCTGTGCCAGACCTGGACATTTATCATGTCGCTCTGTAGTCCAAAATACAATCGTTTCTTATTCAGAATAATTGTTTAATTCTTTTTGGCTTTTTAATTTTAGGAGTTTTAAAAATTTTCTTTTCTTTCAGGAGGTAGTGACATTTTCTAATTAAATATTTCATGTTGCTCAGCTGTTAAAGCTCCATTTCCCTTCATGTTGGTTTCCTGCCTTCACATAATCTAGTGTTTTGCTGTCTTCTTGCCCACTTGCAGGTGGAATGTCATCCTTACCTCAACCAGAGCCAATTGCTGGCTTACTGCCGATCCAAAGATATTGTCCTGGTTGCCTACTGTGCCCTGGGAACTGCACGAGACGAACAGTGGTAAAGACAGTAGGGATTTTACTTAAAAACCCACTGCGGATCACACATTTGTACTGTGTGTTCAGCACAAGTGAGTTCCCTTGCAGACGGTTCAGGGAGGGGAACACTTCAATCCTATCAAATTTTCAGATGACGCTGACCTTTCTGGTGTGAGGACAGGAGTTATGGAACTCTGTGCTAGGCCCAGCACTTTTGTCTTTCAGAAGACTGATAAACTGAGTTGTCAGCTTCAGAGCCTGAACATTTTTGCCTTTTGATGCAGGGTGGACCCAAGTTCCCCAGTTCTCTTGGAAGATCCAGTTCTCTGTGCCGTGGCAAAAAAGTACCAGCGGTCTCCAGCCCAGATCGCGCTTCGCTACCAGCTGCAGCGTGGGGTTGTGGTGCTGGCTCAGAGCTTCAATGAGAAGCGGATCAAAGAGAACATGCAGGTGACGCGGCCGTGTGGACCTCGGGGCTCCTACACGGCACCCTCCGCATTCGCGCTACTTTGTGAGCTCTTGGCCATGCTTTGCCTAAGGGAAATTTGCTGTGAAATACTTCAGATTTACTTTACAGAAGGGAATTTCTACCAGCTTTGTCCTTCTACTGTGGCAGCACGAAAGGCAACTGGGACTGGAGGTATTAGGACTGAAGAGAAAACAGAAAAGTGGGCTTCAGCATCCAGTTTGCAGTGGTCTAAATAACCCCAGGGAAATGACTGTGTCTTTCCTCTTTGTCTGGAATGAGGGAACGTGACAATATTACAGGGCATTGCCTTGTGGAAGTATTTGTGATTTTCCTTTTAATTTGGACTTTAAATCAACTGGAATGGCTTTTATTAATACTGCATGAAATAATGAGACACATACACATATACGTTTTTAATGCATAGCCAAGTTTCCTAGCAACAGTTACTGAAAATGTAACACTTTCCCACAGATCTGTATTGCCACTTCCGTTATACCTAATGTTCACAGTATCTCTCTGCCTTATCTCTTGTGTTCAGATGACTTATTTACTTTTCTGTAGTGTTTTAATCAGATAGGGAAATAAGTTGTGTTGAATGGCAAATATTTTCCCTAACTCTTCCTTTCGAAAAACAGTGTTTTGTAACACTGTGACAGTGTATTGTCACGTTCCCACTGTAGGAATAGATAGGCAGTCATCAATCACAGAAAAACAAATCAAGAAGTATTTGATTACGTTGAGAATAGAAGCTCTGTTCGTTAAAATAGGTCATAAAGAAAATGAAAAGACAAGCAAAGTTTGGAAATATCTGAATCTCAAAAATTAACACCTAGAATAAATACATGGGGTACATTACTGTATACAATGTTCCTTAATAAGTGAGTATACCTTTGCATAAAATTGAGAATCAGTCGATCACTTTCCACCAGGCAGTGTATTTTAAATGTTTACTTGAGGATACACTGAAACTGAAAATTATATCAGTGAGAACCGAACTATTGATAACGGTGATATTTGCAGCCTAAAACTGTGATATGAATTTTCCAATGTTTAGGCTACAGTTTAATATATTTCATGAATATTGTGACACTTTTCTTTGTATAATTTTTATTTATTTATTTACTCACAAATCTAAAAAATTTGATTTTCTTTTGATAGCTTTCTTGTTTACATTATCGAAGTATCCAAATGTATGAAAAAATTAAGAATAGAGCACTGAACACTTTCTAGGAAGGCCAATCAGTTGTGCCATTATTCACCTCCCTTTGCTCTCGCAATCTGACTTTTTTTGGAGCATTACTATTAATTTACAGATCCACTAGTTTCAATGTGTTAGCAACTCTTGAAAATCCTGTTGACACTTAAACTCTCCTTACGTCAGATGATGACTTCCTTTTCAAGCCAGTGTATGCTCCCTTTGATTACACTATCATAAGATTTTAGAAAATACGCGCCTTCATTCATATGGGAACAATTTGTTTTTATCTTGTTTCCCAATGCTATGCAAAAATCAAACTATTCATGAAACTTGCTAAACAGTAGTTTTTTAAAACTCAGTTTCTACATTTTTTTGAATCTTGAAAGTGCACCATCTTTCAGTAAATCTGTTTTCTATCTTTTCTACTTTCTTTTAAGGTCTTTTTTGTAATACTTTTAATACATTGCAACAAACTTGGATTTCTCTTTTGTTTTCAACTGACATCCTTCTCAATTTGAGTTTTTCACTCCATGACATTAATAAATTTTTAGAAATTTAGCATCTGTTTTATTTTTTTCTAATTTAGTAGTGCTTAAAATTAAATGAAGGCCTTAGGTATGCTAGGCAAATACTGTACCCCTTCTATATATCCTTAGCACTTCTCGTCTTTTCTATATATTATCTCTACACCATTTAGTTACTTTTACTTGGACTGAGTGACAGTATTTAGCATAAAAATGGTAAAACTCGTCTACTTGCTTGATAGGTATTTGAATTCCAGTTGACTTCAGAGGATATGAAAATCTTAGATGGCCTGAACAGAAATTTTCGATATAATACAGCTGATTAGTAAGTATCTCTGATAAACATGTTGCCTCCATTTTTTTTTTCTGGGAAAGAGTGTAACACACGTGCTAATATTATGTCAAAACCAGGAGACAGTGATTGGTTTGAGTCAGGCATGAGACACAGGTCTCATTCTGTGAGTGAAACCAGGCTCAGTGTGGATTTGCACACCTGGGACTCTATGCATCTTATTCTGCAAACCTTTCCATATCAGTCCCATATGTTATGTGCTAAATACAGCATATGCTAACATTCTTAAATGTATCCATACTAACATCTGTCCTAGTGTAGGGAAAAGAGAAGAATTGGGACCAGAGTGCAATGAATTCTGTTACTCTTTCTTTCTATAATTTTTGTTTCTTCATATTTACTCACCAATCTAAAAAGTTGGGTTTTCTTTTGAAAATTTTTTCCTTTTCATTGTGAAAATTTCCAGATGTACAAAGATTGTAAGCAGAGAGTACTGAACATCTCCTAGCAAGGCCAGTCAGTAGCGAAATTATTCACCTCTCTTTTCTCTCCCAATCTGCAGGAAGTGGGAATCAATGACTATCTATTTATGTTATAAATATTTTAATGAGTGTTGAATCTATACCTCTACAGGAGCCTCTGTATTCCTACAACTACCTAGTGTACATAGACTTTGGGTATTATTGGTGAGACCTAGTGATATATTTCTAAAACCAATTGTACATTATCTTCTCTCGTATATCTCAATGTCTGATGCAATTAAAGGCATTTCCATTAGTCTGCTCCTAATATGTGCTGCATATTAGCAACTGTCCTTGTCTCCCTGTGGGGTCGTTCATCAGAACACTTCAGTGTGATGTCCTTAGTAATTTCAGCCCTTACTTCCTTCCCATTACACATCTGTCCAGTGCTCTGACACCACGTTTGTCTCAAGAATGTCTCATATTGGTGGGGAAAAATTAGTATGAATCATTTCTACATTTTAAATCTCTTAATAAGTAATGGTTTGAGTCACTTTCTATTTTGTACTGGTAAAGTACAGACATTGCCAAATTGAAAAGTAAGATGTTAAATTATGGAACTCTATCTTATAAGTGAAATGCTTTCAATTTCTGAATGTAACAATTCTCTTGAATGTGATGGGCAATGAGGTGGTAACTAATGAATTTATACAATGAAAATGAAATTGCTAGCCTAGGTTTGTACACCTCAAAATATGTCTTAGTGTTGACCAGTATCTGTACTTGTCCTTGTTCAAATCTAGAAAGTTATCAGCCTGTTTTCATTGAAGATTAAAAAATAGGCTTGCGGGGCTGGGGGTTTAGCTCAGCGGCATAAGTGCCTGCCTTGCAAGCAGGCAGTTGTGAGTTCGATCCCTGGTACCGATAAAAAAAAAAAAAAGACAAAATAAAAATAGGCTTACATCCTGGTTTTGCTTGTTGACACATGAGGCTTAGGGTCAAAAATATTTTGAAATTTCATGTCTGGACATTCTTTGTGTGAAATTCCAGATAAAAATTTGATCAAGAAAATGTTAATTATGGTCAAAAGTTTATTATAATGCTGGGCATGGTGTCACATGCCTGTAATTGCAGCACTCTGGAGGAGGATCACCATGAATTGGAGGCCACTCTGCGTTACATAGTGAGCTCAAGCCAGCCTGAAACTACATAGTGAGACTCTGTCTCTGGAAAAAAAATTCACATAAGATCATGTTCATGAACTAAGAAAGGCAGATTTAAAACCAGTCAGTAATGAAAAGGACTAAATTTAATTCAATGACAGCTTCATAGAAATCGCTCTACACCTCTAAAATTGAGTAACTGAGCTCATACTATGCATTGTTTAAATCTTAGTTTTGCTGGACACCCCAACCATCCATTTGCTGATGAATATTAACACGGAGACCTGTGTCATGACCCCCATCAGAAGCTCCTGCTGATGAGTAGTGGTGCGGGCTCTGTTTCAGGTACAGCTTTCTGGCCATGATACTTCTTGTTCCTGGACGCTGTTTGTCAACTGACACACAGCTGGCACAAGTCTACAGGTCTACAAGGGAAGACACTCATCTTTGTTGCATCCAGAAAGTGATGAACAGTTGTTTGCCATAAAGATTCATCCTTTACAATCTACTACTTGCGTGATTTGTTTCCTTCTGAATTACTAGGACACAAAATCGATTTGCCTAGAGGCTTGGACAGCCAAATGGAAGCAGTAGCATTTGCCTTACAAAATTTCTGGGGTTGGAGTAGCTAAGAGTTCTCAGGCTGAGGAGAAGTGGCAGGTAGGAGGTATTTACGAGTCACTATTCCTTTGAAACTGTTTTTCACAGGCTGCAGTATCCTTTTCTTTGTTATGTGAGTGTACATTTCACTGCATGCAGACAGCATGATGTCTGTGTTCTGACTTTGTAGGTCTGTTCTGGCCCATAACTTGCGCTGATGAAATAGTTTGCCATGTGCAATGAGGTTCCATTCTGAGTCTCTGCCTATGAAGTCTGTTCAAGGTCTTACTCCATGAGCTGGGGTTATGGCTCAGTGGCACAGCGCCTGCCTGGGCAAGTGCAAGTTCATGATCTCAATCCCTGGTTCCAGAAAAACCACAGCAGCCAAAAAAGGTCTTTCTCCCTGCTTGGGTTGGGACATGTGATGATATGACACGTTAGCTAGCTGACAAGAGCGTGAAGACTATCTGGAAAAGAGTTTAAATAACCCTGAGAACTGCCCAGTAAGCATCCTGGCTTAGTCTGTCTCTGTGTACTGAAAACAGTATACAGCAGAACAAATACTCATCAGAGTTTGGGCTTACTGCCATTTGACAAATAAATGAATGTTGGATTCAACTGCTGTGTTGGATGTGGTTTACTATACAGCCTTAAGTGACGACATCATAATTAAATCTCATACATAAATGAAAGATACATTTAAATGGACACTTCACAACAAGAAATTTAAATTGAGTAAACGAGCATTCTAAATAATATGAATATTCAGGGAATGCAAAATAAAGCCACTATCATTTGTGGAGTGAAAATCAACTAATTTTACTCCACCATTTCAGAAAACTAAGAAAAGATGTTACTAACACAGAACTAAACCATGCATCAATCACTTAATGTTGAAAACAAATCTCTGCTCTCTTGTCAGTCTTCACTGTAACCAGCCAAGCTTTCTCACACTGCATGTAGAATAGAACCCTTAATACTAATGCAAAATGTTTGCATAAGTGAAATGTTACATGATCCAAAAATGACTTGAAAGCTTTCCACGACACATATTTGTAAAGGATATTGTGAAGGAGCCCTGGTATCCAGAGTGCCTTTCTCTCCTGGATGTTCTCTTTGATATGTTTCTCACTGAAGCTATGCTGAAGCTGGTCACAGAAGGCACAGAGTTCTCTTCAGCCTTTTTGCATAGCACAAAAGATTGGGTGACCCAAGGGAACCAGCGCGAGCTCTGGTCCACCCTAAAAGTAAAGGCAAAAATGCTCGTGTCCTGATGCTGTGCATCAGTTGGTCAGTGTGTTTCACAGGAGACCAAGATGCCCACTCCAAACCTCTGCTTCTAAAAAGTTTTCCCTTGACCTGCAGCAACGATGTCACCTGAGATCTTCTCAGAAATGACAGTTTTTTGCTGTGCTTCAGCCTGTTGAAATCTGACTCTAGAAGTCTTAATATTGTGGGGCTTAAAGTATTTTATTAACAGTATTTAAGGGTAGTTCCTGTTATTATGAGTTAATTTTTTTATTTCATTTGGTTTCTAGAACACAATAGGTATCAGTGTTTTGACTTTGTACAAATCTAGAAATGTAATTGAATTGAGATAAAGATGACATTTTTATTGTACATGGACAAGATAGGAAGCTAATATACAGAATATTAACATGAAAGGAAAAAATTAAAAGATAAGTAGAATTTTAAAAAATTCCTATGGAATATAAAATTGGAAATAAATATTAAGCTTATATGATACTGTTTGTAAAATATTAACTTAATATTTCAATCTCCAGTAAGGTTTTTTAAAAAGTACAAAATGATATTATCAAGAGAAACAAATGTATATATGAACAAAGTGTTGGATGCTAAGTCCTGGCTTTCTCTAAGGAGACAAGGCACTTTGGGACCGGCAATTCTTGCAGTCTTGGATGTTTAGTGAGCCCAGAGCCAGGATTTAGTTAAAGACTCAAAAGACTGAGTGTGAAGGACAAAGGAACCATCTTGGTAGGCATCTTGCTAGTGAGATTTGGGTAGATAGCTGTATCAAAGCAATAAGTAGAAAATCAATTTGATACATAAATTAAAATGTGACTACATTACAACAGATACAAACAGAGGGAGAGAGAAAAGAGGCAGAAAGGAAGGGAGCGCTAAAATATTTATTCCTGATAATGTGACAGTTATAACTGTTCTCAGAACATTAACAAATCAAGGCATGGTACTAAGTTTTCATTGTTTTGCAAGAAAATTGTAATTTATACTTATTTGATACATAAAATTTTACATTAAAATATAAGATAGGAAAAATAAAATGAATTACTCAAAATGAAAATAATGATTTATGAAGCCCAACAAAATAAATGAATTCTGGCAAAGATCATCAATAGCTACAAAACATTTGTAGAGAAGTATGATTTCCTTTGTTGATAATTGTCCCTCAGTAGATTACTAGTCATTGCAATGAGCAAAATATGTATTCACAGAAAAGAGATCCGACTATGATTGAACCAAGTGATTGCAACTAACATCAGTGTCTTCAGTTAGTTTCTGTTCACTTAGCCACAATCCCAGACACCCTCAAACTAGAGGAGAGATTTCCTTTGGCGTACAGTTTCTATTTCAGTTCATAGTTGGCTGGCTCCAAGGCAGGGGCAGCATGGCAGTGGGGCGTGGAAGAGAAAAAAGAGCTCATGGCATGGAGCCCAGAAGCAGAGAAACAGAGGGAGAGAGAGAGAGAGAGAGAGAGAGAGAGAGAGAGAGACAGACAGAGAGAGAGAGAGAGAGAGACAGAGACAGAGAGAGAGAGAGAGAGAGAGAGAGAGAGAGAGAGAGAGAGAGAGTTCAAGGGAGTCTGGAGGGAGATAGGCCTTCCCAGGCCATGCCCACGGTGACCTGGCTTTTCCAACCAGGCTTCACTTCCCAACAGCACATTTAGTTATAAATTTATATATGGACAAATCTACTAATTAATTTCACACACACATGACTCTGAGCTCACGAAGCTTTGGGGGAAATGTGTAGAAATAATCCAGAACTACTATTTACTTGAGAAACCTGTAATTATCTGCTTCCTACTGGCCTGAAATTTGAGGGATACAGGATAATAAGGACATTTTATTATCGAAAGTGATTAGCACCAATACACATCCTCCTCTATCTAGGATACACTTTACCACTGGAATTCACTCAGACTCTTCAGGATTTTCTTTATTCTATCAATGATTTAACCCTTCTTGCTATTAATGTAGAAATTTGATTATGGTATGCTCTGTCTTTATCTTGATTAGATTTTTGTGATCTATTAATGCTTCTTCCTTGAACTCTGAATTTTTCTGCCAGAATATGTGTGCGCACTTTCAGGTAATCCTGGGTCTACCAACTGATATTGTTGGAAATACTAGAATTTGTCACAATATCTGCTAAAATGTCTTGCATATCACAAGTAATACACGGCTTCTTTCACATAGTATCAAACAGTTCTGTATTAATGTATTGACCTCTGTTTTTCTTCTGCTTTTGCTAATTCAAATTTTCTATTGAGAAAATAACTTGTGTAGGAAGGTTAACTGACAGTTCTCTGTAAAGGTGACCAGATTGCAATGATGACTTCCCACACTTTATGCTTTGGTTTCTTTCCTTCTCCATTTCACAGACACACTCCTGCAGGCACTGTCTTTGCTCACTGTGCTCTAGGAGAAGTAATGATGGGAGCAGAAAGGTTTTTTGTGTTACATAGTCCAGCGTGATTTGGATAAATAGTCTTCAAAAACTCATGTATTAAGGGGTTGACTCTAAGTCATGTAGGGGGTCTTAAAACATTTAGAGGTAGAGCCTATTGAGGTCTCCCAGTCACTGAAGACATTCTGAGACTGTTTAGATAGGATTTTCCTCTTAAGATATTATGTCTTTCCTCTTTTCCCCTTTTGTTTCAAGCCAGAGGTGAGGCCTTCCTCTGTCACATGTGTATATCATGATAAGTTGTCTCCCAAAGGCCCAAAAGCAATGAGCCAGCCAGTCATGACTAAATCTTTAAAACTGCAAGCTAGGATTTCAAAACAGGATGATAGGAATTTAGCAAAGGTTGTTATATTACTTGTTATCTTCAAAAGAGATACTCAGATTACCAGATATAGGCATGCAAAATTGGTCAAACAGTATAAATGCTAACTGTTCTTTTCAGTGAACTAATAGAATTAGTAGTACAATTCTCTTAGCTATCATATATATGATATTGACATATAGATATATATATATCAATATACACACACAAATTTATATTTTTTCCTTTTCCCTTCCTTTTCTCCTTTCCCCATTTCCAGTTGTTCTTTTTCTTTGAGCAATTTTTTAGCCTTTCAAAATATCTATTGTGGTTGTTTGTTTCCATGCAGCACAAAAACTACAGAAGCACCCCATAAGCAAACAGAGCTCTCAGACGGAGATTCTTGATCTGCTGTGGCACTGGATAGAGAGCAGGGCCCTTGGGCAACAGTTTGGGCTTTAACTTGCAATACCCTAACCTAGCTGTAAATGAGCATTGGTTTACCTGTGAAACTGTGAGTCGCTTGGCAGTGTCACCATTTTAAGTAATTATGACTCATCATTCATGATTCTAGCTTTAATTTCTGTGCACAGATTGTGGGTTACATTTAAACATTCCACACATTCTTGGTTGAATTTATTTTTAATTCTACTTTTGACTACTTACAGTGAAACTTTTTGTGGTTCATTTTGAATATATTGAAATAAAACTGATTTTTTGTATTGATTTTTACATTCCCCAAAATTTCTAAATTTATTTATTCAATAAAACAGTTACTTTGTTAACTGTGTAGAGTTTTCTGCATATTAGATGTTACTATTCATTGCAAACATCTAGTAGGTTGAATTTGGATATGTCCAGTGTATTATCAGTAGAGG